TGGGTAGCTTGGAATGAGAGAAGCAGTATACACCTGGCTTTATTACAGTTTACTGCATTTATGAATCAAAAGTTAATACTACCTTATCTCATTACCAAACAACAAACAAACAATAATAGTCATTGTTTGCCGTCGCTCTGAAAATTAAAACCCGAAGAAGCAGCTGTACCATTCTTCCTCGAAACATTTCCGGACGTTTTTGACTAGGAATATGATGGAGCTCTGTCACTGTAACCAAAACGATTAGATATAAAACCTATAGTGTACTTCCGGTTGACCTAGAATTGACAATTTTGGTTAAAAAAAAGGTTTACAGCACAAGTAAAGAGAAAATTCGGAAAAATAAAAAAAGTTGAAGTTAATACCTTAACTTCAACTTTTTTTATTTTTCAGATTTTTTTTCAGAAATTTCCAAACTTGTAAGTACCAAAATTGGTAAATTTTGGTACTTACAAGTTTGGAAATTTGCCCATATCTTTTTATCGTGTTGACTCAGGACCTTGATTTTTTTTATACACCTAATAGGGACCATATACCTCAGTATCTGGTATAAATTTCAACTTGCTAGGTCTACCCGTTCCTTAGAAAATTGGTGGTGACACACGAAAGACACACGAAGGACAGACGCACAAGAAAGTGAACTTATAAGGGTTCCTTTTGAGGTACGAAAACCTAAAAAAAGAAAAATGTTTTTGATTAATTGATTTTGTTTTTCTCAACTACATTACGCTTAGTCATCAGTAGCTATAATAATTACAGATTTATAATAATACTAAATAATACCAAATGATAATTTGGAAATAAAGTCAAATTGTTTTTTTTTTGGCAATTATTATGCTCTCATATCTGAAATCAAATCGAAACTAACGAATAATACATTTTAGACATTACGCTTTCCATCAGGTGACTCGTCTGCTCGTTCACCCACTATTCCAGAAAAAAAAATCACATGCGATACCAATTACAATATCATTGTTATTCCGTATCTGTATCTTCTTACTCGTAGATTCAAAATTTTATACCCATAACCTCTACACCCGCTGAAGCATCCGGGACAAAGTCAAAACTCTGAATTTTCAGTAACTTAAAAGGCATACTATATACATGGAAATTGTTCAATTTCATTTAAAATGAACCGATAATTTAAGAAATATTACCTTTAAAAGTTTCTTAGTTTTCTTTGTGACACATACTTAACTCAATCATCAAAATTCCTTGGTACTGCAGACAGACACACTTCAGTGTTTTGCCTATAAAACAAATATACACCGACACATACCGCAATTTCATTCCCTTTTCTAGATATACAAACTGCATATTTGAATCTAAGCCAAAAGAATAAATGTAATTAAAATAAAAATTAATTTCAAAAAAGAAACTCACTGAGATTATTTTGTGATGTTAGATAAATTATAATGAGGAATAATGAGATAAGAAAGCAGTGTAGACAAATTTAAGAAAATAATTCTGCGATAGTTTGGACCTATTCAAATGATTGATGATTTGGTAATGAATGAATGGAAATATAAGAGTTTATAAGACTGTGTGCGTGTGGTGACGGATTAAGAATATGGAGTGTATATGGCCAGCTTGGTATAGTAGGACAAAACCTCCTTTCTAGGCCTATGTCCAGCAGTAGACTATTAAAGGCTGTTGATGTGATGATGTGATAAGACTGTGTACAAAAAGCAAGTGGTTGCGCTTGGGTATACCAGACAGTATGACCAGATCAGCAGTAAACTAAAGAATTCAATTCAATTTTTCCAAATTAATTTCAAAATTCAGTGCTGGACATAGGCCTCTCCTTAAAAAGGAGGTTTTGGCATATTATACCACGCTGACCAGACGGGTTGGTATAGGGTTTCTTTCAAGTTTTAATTATCTTTGCACTGCTGTTGTCCTACGTAGGCATTATTAATTTATTATATTTTGGCCACAACAAAACTAAAAATCATTCATACTAAAAATAAAACCCTCGAAATAAGAAAACAACTAATAAGTGAAAAATAATGTGAAAAATAAACTTGTTATCTTAACTTACTCGTAACTCTTAAACAAATTAAATACCTACGCAATTTTGAGTTGGCGCCAAAACCACAAACAAAATTAAATTCATAAATATTCAAGCAAAGGTATAATTCGCGTCGCCACCACCACTGCGCATTCTGCTCCCCTTATTTTACTTCATAATTAATTTCCTTGTTTCTGTGTATTGATTCTGTTTGTTTTTGTATCAACCTTTTTCTTTTAGGGTACAACAAACTTGGGTGCGACATCCTTATTTATTCTTTGCACAAATCATGTTCCATCCGTGTACCTCTGTAAATAGTATGTAAATATTAGATATTTATTTATGTAAATATGTATTTATTTTAATTATCGCTGTGTACATGTTTACACAGACTATATATGGTTGACAAAAAAGGAGCACCGCATCCTAAAACTCTTCAAAATTTATTGGAAAAGTTGAATCTCTGATATTTTTGTGGGCACGTTTATTTATGAACTAATGTAAATATACATACAACAAATACAATACTTTTTAGTGTAAATTAATCAAGCACTTTGTACAAAAACTTCACTGGTCCTATCGATTAATGCCGAATGTATGTGGGTACTTGTATACTAAGTATATAGTTTTAAAGTATTAAGTTAATAAGCCATTTTAAGTTACAGACCTGATTGACCTGAAATGGCCCTGATAATATTATTATCAAGTATTATTCTAATAGTATAAAAACTAGAATGCCTCCATGAAATTTACATAAATATGGAATCCTTTTTCTTTCTCTTTGACATAAGTATATGTATTTTTTTTATTTATTTACTGTATTCGTTCCGTATTCGGACAAAATGTAATTAGATTTTCTATAGTACTCTTAGTGTAGTAGTAAAGTCCTCGTACATGATATGAAATGTAAATGTAGGTATTACACTTCTGTCCTTGGCTACGTGCATATACCAGATATCATAATCAGCTGGTATTGTAATGATCACGATGAAAATGATTTACGCGTAAATTAAAGGCTGTGACCAGAAACTGTTACCGAGTAGTCGTAACCACATGGAGCGGGTGTGCGGCGTGCGGGCAGCGGGGAGGGTGTCTAGACAGGCCGCAGACGCATGGAGGCTGCGCCGCTCGACCGGCACTCACGCACACAGACGACCGGTGCATCGCCCGATTTCACTTAAAACAACACACATATACTCCGGTGCAGTCTGACGCTGACCTTTACCACTCAGACGGACGATGCATTTACCTACGTATTTCTAATGTTTCGTTTCTCGCATGTGCATTTAATGCCAACGAGGTTTTTATAAAAACATGTATCAAAGCCACAACTTTGCTAAATTAATTTAATTCAACCTTTTTAGCGGTACCTAAACTTACAAATATGCATTATTATAAAAACCTCAAAATAATATTATCAAAGTTCAAAGTTCTCATACTAAAGGCAAATAAATGTGTTAACAAAAAAAATGTTAACTTACATTAGTAAAGTAAATAACTAAATGTATTTAATAAGAATATTGTTGGTACAGTAGAGACAAGCGAGGTCTTTTGAAATAAGGATAAACATGTGTGGATGGATGTAGCGTTATAAGTAGATTTATGTGTACCTACTTACATGTAGAATTAAATACATTGTATCAAGTTGCAAAGTCCGATGAGCGATCAAGTCGAGTTCGAACAGGAAGTGGTAGTTTTTATGTTGTTTTGTAACCGCGGGTTGCGAATATACGCGATCTGCAAGGTGTAACATCACTTTATACACATATATCTTTACATATGTATTTTTTTTGTGCATTTTAATACAGAAAACACAATTTACTAATATATGAGGTATAATTATTGTAAAAATTGTAAATGGTTGTATTAAAATTATTCTTGCGATTGTTGCCATTTATTGAAATAGCTACCTACATCTGTCATAGTTTGAAACTTGCCTACAACAAATTATCCTACTATTATACTATTTATACTTGTAGATACTTACTAAATTCCTGACATTTTAGTTGCTAAATTATTATGACATTGTTTTATGTTGTGTTAGTAACATAAGCTGGCATGTCGTATATAACTAACCGTTAGCAAAAACTGCAATATTAAAAAAAAAATATTCATGTAGTTTACGTAAGCTCGCCTAAAAATAGTCACCATAATAGTAATCAATGATTTCGTGAGACAGATTAGTCATGTTTTTAAACGTGAAATAGTGTTTTGTCTAGGAGACGATTTACAAAACAAGGATAAAGAACAAAAACAAAACGCGTCAGACAATCTCATATAGACTTTCATCGCGGCTATAAATAGAATGACAAGATAGACTAAACAACGAATTTTTATGAGACACACTAGCATGATTTTGTCATACTTTAGGTTCGTCATCTAACATTTGTTGTTAGCTAGAGCTAGAGCGGAGCTTGGGAGTCATTTTTATTCAGATAGAGAATAAAAATGACTCCCAATGTCCGGGTTAGTGTCAATAAATTATTTGTCTTTTTTAAAAAACACAGAAGTATTAATTTATGCATCCAATGCATGTGCATTATAATTCAAACCTGCCTCTGTTTATGTATTTATTTTTTAATAATTATTCTAATAATGAAAATATCTACGACTGACACTTCAATAGCGACTGCACGGATGTCGTAGTGATTTAAACGGTCACCACGCCACTTTCTACAGCGCTGAGTTTAGTGGGTTCGATACCCATACGGGACAGCTCTTTGTGTGATCCATATATTGTTGTGCTAATTCTGGATGTTCTCTGTGTCCGTTTCATGAATGTTTGCCCCAACACACACTACAACACTAGAAAGTAGAAGTAGTAAAACGGAGAAGAAATTAAGAGTACAAACAATATTGTAATTGCTTACCCATTCCTTTAAAAATTCAACTGTTTTCTGAAAATGTATTATTATATATTATACTAAAACATACTAAAAATATGGGATATTAAACGATAGTTAATGTATATAATCAAACAAGCGCTGGCATGAAATTGAGAACAAAGCGGAACACCGGGTGCAAAGTGAGCGATAAGAAGCGGCATTGGGACCGCGGCGCTGGAGTATCGCGCGAGCGCGGCGGGGACGGGTTGCGGGGCGAGAGGCGCGAGGTCAACGCTCCACACGTAAACAGATAACTCCGATTGATTACACGACACTGCCCACTCTTTAATGCAACTCACTCGATACAGCTCGTACCTAGGAACAAAACACTAGGACTTCGGTCGAAGCACCGTGCGGTTATTACGCACCGAATACTTTACTTGTACGACCAACCAACAACCGCGACGGAAAGGTTAACAGCTAACTAAATAATTAAAACAGGTATTTTACTAATAATTAAAAAACAAGGAGGGAATAACTGTATTAAAAACGATTTATTTAAATAAAATAAGTAAAAGTGTTGAAAAGGGGCTCGTGGCCAAGTAGTAACCGAGTAGGTTGGCACATTCCAAAGTGAAGCAATCCTAGTCAGGTCACTTTATGAATGGCTGACCACTCATAACATATTGAGTCCCCTTCCTGCCTCGGAGAGCACATTACGCCTTCGGTTTTGGTTGCCATACGAACTTCTGTTCCAATCGTAACGGGTAGTTGAAGCCCTAAAAAAAAGTCCGACCACAATCTGTTTTTTTTTTGTTTAAAAAAAGACAACTCCCGCATTAAGATTATATTCCTGTGTCGCGGGTGACTTTACAAACATACATTAAACAGACACAAAGAACACCCAGACTCGGAACAACAATTTGTGGATCACACAAAGTGTTGTTCCATGCGGGGATCGAACCCACAACACTCAGCGCATTGGAAAGCGGCGAGGTGACCGCTTAAACCACTACGCCGTCCGTGCAGTGCAGTGCATCTATCTACAGCACTTCGATATCACCTAGTACTTGGGCTGTAAAGACCTGATGGCAGTCGTCCACGTAAAAAATCGAAGTTCAACAGCGTCGTAGTAGACTCTAAGCCAACCCCGATATAGTTGGAAAAAGACTCGGAGGATGATGATGAACTAAAAATGTTGACCCATATGGTAAAAATTAATTAGATCTGCACCCTTGGTAAGAATGGTATTATACATTGTATTGTCGTCAGCACTAGAAATTAATCGAAAAAAAAGATTAAAATTAACGTCTAAACAACTAAATTCATTGACTTTAATTAAATTATAAATATATAGATGTAGATAAACAACTTGTGAACAGAAGGCCTATTTAACTTATCATTTTTCTTTGTGATTATCGAACTGGCCGATACGATATCTATGAAAAGTAAAAATGTTGTTTATAGATTTGCATTTAATACCTGTTATCAGTGTTATCATATTACATTGTTACCGCTGAGCTATGCCTTTAAAAAATCTAAATCGCCATTTTGGAAAACATAAGCAATCTCTTATCTCCATCCACAACGCTATGTATTTGTATTTGACAGACAACAAAAGCCGGCAACAGCTGATTTGACGTAGTCACAAAATAAAACTTTTGGTTACAATGCACTTAACAAATATCTCACGGAGAGGTAACGCAGCCTTTGTTCTGAGGCGATGCCGGACACATCTTTTGTGACAGAATGGGTACAGCTTGAAACTTGCCCTAGGCGGAGTTGCATTTGATATGCACAGATTGAACAGTGAGATGCATACTAATATTTGGTACCATTTTTCATTTGATAAACGAACACCACAATCAATTGAACTTGTGAAATAAAACTTGTTATTTTGTGTGAAAAAAAATATAAAATTTAAAAGGTGTCGCTGCGGCAGACGTGCAGTTCACCTCGCCAGTAATTCTAAATGCATCGCATCTAATAGGTATAGGAAAATACAGATGGATGATGCAATAAAGGCTGCCTTGTTCTCTTAGTTTCTCTTCTTTTATTTTATAATATATAGATGCAACATAATTAAATAACTTACAGATCATAACTGTTATTTGACATTTAATAATGCTCAGTATATACTACTGCTCTATAACTAACACATATTTCTACTACTCGTGCGTTCGTGGTATTATTACACTCCAAACATTTTTACCTATTAAAATATTGTTATGTTATTTAAATATAATTTCATGGTTATTTAGTTAAATAACGTGCATTTCATTGAGGCATAATTCATTTTCCTCCTTTCTTTATTCATAAATGTAGTAAAATAGTTAATAGAACAAAAGACATCAACGCGTAGATAAAGTATACACAAAAAACTTAAGTGTATTTAACTACTGTTCATAGTTTGATGCAGTAGTACTAGATTTATAGTATTTATGTATTTATATTTGTTCGTAATTGGGATTATTCTGCAATTTCAACATCATTGTAAAGATTTTTAAATATTAATTACGTCAAAATTGTGGTGGTTTTTCTAGTTGTTTCAAGTTAATGTTTAAAGGTTTAAAAATAGAACAAAGGTGCAACAAACAAACAAGCAAATCAAGTGGAAGATAAAGCAATTGTCTTTGAAGGCATACGTCGTAAATAAAAAGACAATTCGTAAATTGCGAAATGTAATTGCAGATGGCGCGCCGAGTGCCATCCGCGGGCGGCGAGTGTCGGGCGGCAGCGCGGCGTCGCGCCGGGCGGACCGCCATCGCCGGTGCTAATGAAAATTTAAAGTAACCGGTACGAGTGAGTGTTAAGGTCTTATTCTAGAACGAGCAGCGGATTTCAGGATTTTGGAGTTTTTTCTTTTTATTGAACTACTTTATCGTCTGCGGCGGAACATAGGCTGTTTATAAAATTGAGGTAATCTCATAACGTTGATACATCCGAAACATGCATCAATAATATTATAACTTATAACTGTGTCAGAATCTTTCAATTCCATTTATTGATGTATATTGGAATAAAATTTGTATAAGTGAAGCTTCCCGCCGAATTCGCATCAGGCGTCACACTCAGACATCCATAAAATACTGTGTTGTTCAACCTCTTTTTTTTGTTTAAAAAATCAACTCCCGCACTAGAAATATATCCTGTGTCGCTTGGGGGGCTTTATAATACATGAAACTAACTCAAAGAACATCCAGACTTAGATCAACTATTGGTGGATGGTCCCTTGCCCAAAATAGCTTGGGAATCCCTGCTCTACAAGTTTCTACATTCTCTAATTGATTGCGACTAAACTACTACTTCTGCTAGTGAATATAAATGGAGAGTATAATAGGGTTGCCTTGACTGGCACCAAAAGTAGCTTAATACTAGGCTTGCCGTGTGCTTCTGTTTGCCTAAATGGTGTACGAAGTAACAAGCCGTTTAACTCATCAGCATCACATAACATCGCTTTTCTCTTATCAATTACATAATCCTCTCGTAGAGGGGAGTGAGGTGCGGCGAGAAGTGGTCACATGCTCTGGTGCATCGCGACCTCAGTGCAGTGACCCGCCCCCACGCCCGCATGCCGCACCCCCCGCCTAGTGCAGCCTGATGTCACATGCCTTGTACAATTCACCTCCATAACCGTCGACTTAATTTTCTGCTTTTATGATGTACTGCCGTATTTTACATATTCCTAACTGTGTACTAATTTAAAGAACTGAAAATAAATAATACGACGAATAAAAATGATGGTTTGATTGCACTCTTTCCGCCATCATAGAAATACACTGTATAGTGTGCTAATGCACTTACACTTGTGTAAGTGAATTATTTAGTAGATATGTTGTAGTACTTTTTCATCGTAAGAGACTGGACACAATTTGATGAAATTTTTAACAAATGTATATTGCATGCTTCTTATTATACAGAAAACCATAACCTCGGGCAAAATAATAATACCCAAACCCAAAAATAATAATAATGTTCTTGCAATTTACTCAAACAAAGAGATAAGACCTGTTTAGGAACCATTTAACTAAATCTTTAAAATAATACTTACTTACTCTTAATCTTTTTGACTACAAAGATAATCATTTTCAAAAAGAACATCTCATATTATTATTAGACCGGTCCTCGATACTATAGTCCCAGATTGGTCAACCACTTCTTTAGTGCTATGTTTACTATAAAGTTTAAAAAAATATATATTTTAATATCTTTGAAATACTTCAAGGACAATTTGTAATTACATGTTTTCACATATTATCAAATACCTTAACTAAGCTAATTTATTGAGTGGTTAGTGATCGTAACTCAGGAGCAGACTACAGAGGTTTTGGGTTTGCGCACTCATGAAAAATAATAGCATAGTAAGTACGCTTTATTTTGTTTGTACATGAGTGTAATTAAATAGTTATATAAACTTATGTACATCAGCAGTCTCTTTACCATGGTACATGCTCTACCTAATATGAACGTAGATGGCCATGTGTGAACTGTTTCAAGCTATTATCGTATTGTCTATAAGAAGGAAAAGATTCGAACGCCAACATAGAGCCAAAAGCCCGAAAATCTCCTATATGTAAAAGAAATATGCATCTAAACTAACGTAAAGCACAGTGCTTTGCCATTGGCTCCTACAAGAATACAGCCATCGCACAGTCTCCTGGTCAGGGTATCAAGATCTTTAGTCTGGTAAAAGTGAGATCTTATTTAGGTTACGTCGAGTGAGACCGAGTTCGACTTTGGTATGACAGACTTATGCCCCTTGTCAAAATAGTAAACGCCCGACCATAGACCGGATCTGATGGTTAGGTACTTCGTATGTATATAGCTGTGATCATTACAACAGGGTTGCCATTGCAACATTGTAACTTCTGGCTTTGTAAGTATCTGATTGGTTGTAAATCACCAAAAATTGGCAATGGTTATTATGATTCAGATCACATTACATCAACAGCCTTTAATAGTCCACTGCTGGACATAGGCATCTCCTTAGAAAGGAGGTTTTGGCCTACTATGCCACGCTGGCCAGACGGGTTGGTATAGGGTTTGTGTCAAGTTTTCCTTCTCTCTGCAGTGTTATTGTTCTACATAGGGATGGGGCTGGATGAATAGGGGTGGTGACACTCTGTATTCTTAATCCGTCACCAAACTGATTATGATTAACTGAAACTAATCAAAACATCGTTAAGCTCTCATGGATTTGCTGCATAACAATTATTTTTAAAAACCTTACATATTCAGAAACCCACTTATTTAAATACCTCACCATTGTCATAATACTCGTATGTCCCACATTTGTTAAGTTTAGTAATGATTAAATTCAAATTGTTATAGTATTGGACCGAGAGGCGGCTGCAAAGTACGAAGAGATAAGGGAATAAATATTTTTAAAGCACCCCCGTGATTTTAATTTCAGCATGCGCATTCTCTCCATGCGTTGTGGAAAGCGCCTGATATATCTAAGAAAATAGCCAGGTCGTATTGAAATTTTGCCTCTGTGACAAACTTTCTAACCGATATAACAGCGTCAGTTGTCGATTTACCCAACGTAAATCCAAATTGTCTATCACGAAATTTGACTCCACCTGGCAGAAGCCATGCACTACAAGACGTTCTAAAAGCTTTCCTAACGATGGTAACAATGTGATTGGTCGGTAGGTATTGGTATTGGTTGTATGCTTCGGTTTCCGCATTTAGACTCAAGAGTGGTCCTTTATGCGTCGAGGATTGGTTAGCTAGGTGAGCCAACCAAGCTCCTTACAGAAGCGCAGAAGCCTTCTGGGGCGTTCACAGGCTTCTAGGAGCGATCTTGTCTCAGGAATGATACTTGCCCGTTGTGCGGCCACTCCCTCGCATTCCAGAACTACGTGGGCGGCCGTTTCCTCTGCTACCAGACATCCCCTGCACAGAGGGCTGTCCGTCGCATTGATGATGAATAGGTGTCGGTTCAGGGCTAAGAGTCCTGTTAGAGTACCGACAACTATTTGGATTTCGTGTCTGCTAAGACTAATCAATCTGCCGGTGAGCCGTGGTGTGACTTGAGTCATCACCAGTTTGGACTGTCTGCAGTCGGGTGAGTTTTTCCACCTCCGGTTGTGTGCTTCACGGGTCTGTTGCCTGGCCTAAAATCGTGTTTGGTTAAACGGTATTGGCAGGAGTATGGTTGTTCCGGTAGCTGTGGTTGCCGAGCCCCTCCTTGCCAACTCATCTGCGGCATCGTTCCCGTGTGAGTTACTGTGCCCTTTAATCCATTGGAGGAGTACCACATTTAATGTGACAAGCTGCTCCAATGCTTGATGGCATTCGAGGATAATACCAGAGGTCATTGTGTTGCCCTCCAGTGCCTTTAGGATGGCCATGCTGTCTTATAGCATTCGGATGTTATAGTCCTTGATACCCCTTGACATGGCCGTTGTGGCGGCGTAAGTTATTGCCACACATTCGCATTGAAATATAGAACTGTGTTGCCCTAACGCTAGTGATATGTTCATATTTAGGTCTTGCGAGAAAACTCCGGCGTCAGTTCCTGACCTAGTCTTGGAACCGTCCGTGTAAATTCGGACTTCATTAATGCCGGAATGATCTCGGTCATTTTCTCGCATCTGGATGTGGTATCATTTTGTGAAGATGTGGTGTTTTGGGATTCTATCGCATGGGGCTGTTATTAGTGGTTCGTATTCCACCAATTGATTCCATAGTTTGGAGTGCGATCCCTCACTCTTATGCCATAGGCCCAGGTGTCTGAGTCTAATTATCGCCATAGCGGCCTCCTACTGTATGAATAAATCCAGTGGGGGCAGACCCAGAGCCACCTCCAGTGCGGCTGTTGGCGTTGTGCGCATACAGCCAGTGACCGCAGAGCATGGGAGTCGCTGGAATTGCTGCAATTTGTTTATGACGGTGCTTAGCTCTGTTCTCTGCCACCAGACAACAGCACCGTAAGTGATTATTAGTCTTATGACTGTTCTGTAAAGCCATAGAGTAATCTTGGGTGATAGTCCCCAGCTTTTGCCGAGTAGCCTTTTGCATTGACAGAAGATAATGCAGGCTTTGTTTAGTTTTTAATCGAGGTGCTTATTCCACAGGAGTTAACTGTCCAGTATTACTCCTAGGTATTTCACCTCTTTGGTAAGACCAAGTTGCGTTCCAAATAGCTTGGGAAGTCTAAGGTTTCCTAGACTGCGTTTGTTTGTGAATATGATCATCTCTGTTTTCGATGAGTTCACTGTCAGTTTGTGTGCTGCTTACCACTGTTCAACGATCTTCAGTGCAAGTCTCATTTGATCGCATGTAACCTTTATTATGTTTGGGAATGAAGACTACTTTAACTTCTCTCCATTTCAGGGGGATGTAATGATGCGCCAGGCAGCCCCCTGTAGATTTTAACAAGGTGGTCCAGTAGTATCACATCACACCATCTCAGTAGGCCTGGGAAGATACCATCTCGTCCTGGCGCCTTGAATGGCAGGAAGCTGTTAATTGCCCATCTTAGTTTGTCACGGTTGACAACTTTGCGGGCCGTATCCCAGTCTGTATCATCTGGTGCTTTTTCCCATCTATCTTCCCATGTTTCCGTCACATCTGATATGCGACATCCAGGGAAGTGTGTTTTCATAACAGCTCTGAGGCTTCCGGGTCTGTTTTGGTATACTCACCATCGGGCTTCTTCAGTGAGTCAAGATTGTGTTCGCCTCTGCTACACAATATGTTTTTGATTCTATTGGCCTGGTTGTTGTTCTCTATGTTAGTACAGAAATTTCTCCAGCACTCAGTTTTCTTGGTTCTGATTCTCTTCT